ACGCAAAGCTAAGCTAAGAAAAACGTGTTAAAATATGCTATTTTTCTTATTTTTCAGTAATGGAATATAGGAAGGGTCATAGAAAGGAGCTGCTGAAATTGGCATAATTCACAGGCAGAGACAGTACGTAGTATATATGAAAAAGGTCCAAAGTCAAAACTACAATGATAATTACAAAGCTCTTTGGATAGTATTGGAGCAGGAGAAATAAGATTTGTTTATAGACTATATTGTTTCTATTGGACATTATTGAGTATTAAAAACCAGCAACAGCAAGTTAATTGCTGTAGAGCCTGTAGTGACTAGTGAGCTTGTTAGCACAATAGCACTTGGCAATCAACAGTACTACAGTCAATGCATATTGTACATCAATATAATTGTCAACAAAAGTACATGATCAAGCTGCAAGATTCCAAAATTATTAAATATTTATAACAATGGGGATATAAATGCAAAATTTCAGTAATAAAATATTAGAATTTTTCAATCTTGCTGCCTTGGCCTTGGAACTAACTTATCTTTCATGCATAGAAATCATGGTGCCCAATGCTTTTATAAATATAAAAGAGTAGGTATGAGCTTCTGGGAAATTGGAGTGATCTCACAATCTATAGCACCACATGTCACAACCTCTTCTCCCACAATTTCCAGTAAATTACTGCGGTAGAGAGAATTCTGTTGTTGTTATTGTTTGTTGCAACCATCACGCTTGCTGGGGAGAGGCTCTGGTGGTGGGCGGGGGGGCCGGCACCGGAAGAGGGGGGAGATGAGCAAAGGCAGGGAGGGTGGCCAGGAAAGCCGCTGCCTCCACTGGGTTGTCCCACAGTGAGGAGATGCTGAGAGATGTGGGGAAGGCGGGGCAGACAAAGAGATGCTGTACTGACTGGAGGGGATCCCTGCACTCCGGGCAGGCGGAGCTAGGGGAGTGTCCGATCCTGGCGGAATAGAATGCCAGGGAGCTGCAGTATCCCGAGCGGAGCTGGGATAGCACTGAGTGGTAGGGGCGAGGGAGTGAGGTCTCCACTGATGTGATTGGCGGTGGCGAGGCTGCAAGTACGGTGTTTATGGTGTCATTCGCCGCAATGCGGGAGGCGATCTCCCTGCGGAGGGCCCACTTGGTCTCTCCGTAGGCACCCACAGGCATCATGCCATTATCCAAGAAAGGTGTGACCAGGTGACCAAACCTCGACTGGATGGAGGCTTTCATGGGGTGGTCACCCAGAGGGGCAGAAACGATACGGAATGAGGTATGGGAGGGATGGAGGGCGCTGGCGAGGAACTGGGCACAAGCCAGGTCCAGATGCGCGGCTAATGGGAGGACGCCAGTCTCCTGGTGAAGGTGGGGGATCTGGGCCATTTTGAGGCAGCTGGTGGCTACGTCTCAATGCAGTGTTTTGAATTATCTGCAGGCTGGCAACTGCTGTGCGTGAGGTAACAGGGTACCAGATGGGGACCACGTAGTTGAGGATTGGGTGCGTGATGGCTCGGTAGGTGGCAATAATGTCCTCCTTGGAGAAGCCCCAGTTGGTACCAGCTAGGGCTTTTAAGATGCGAAGAGAACCCGTCGCTTTTGTGGCGATGTCTCTTGCATGAGGGGAGAACGTGAAGTGCGTATCCCAGGTGACGCCCAGGATTTTAGGGGTTTTATCCAGGGGGATGACGCCGTTGCAGATAGTGGCTGCAGGGTGGTATCGAGATTGGTGGGTGTCTGGTGTGAAGAGCGTGACTGAGGATTTACCAGGAGCCACGCCCAGTTTCTTGGCCGCCGACCAATCCAATACGTTCCTAAGGAGCACAGCGAGCTCAGCTTCAGCAGCGTCAAGCCTCGGGGACAGTGTTGGCGGTTTTTTTGATTTGAAAAAAAAATCAAAAAAATAAAAAATCAATGATTTTTTTATTTTTCATGATTTTTTTGATTTATTTGATTTGTTTGATTTTTTTCAGCTTTTTTTTTGTATTTTTTGAGGTGTTATTTTTTATGTTGCAATTAGCCTACTAACAATAACAGTATATGGATCATAATGGATGGCTAAAAATGTCACTTATTGCCTTCAATAATGGCCAACAGGCCAAGGTGGTGTTTACCACTTAGGGGTTTTTGGGTAAACAATTATTGATAAGTCTAATCATTAGCTTTGTAAAGTTTGTATGGAGCAAGGTAATGAGCTAAATATTGACCATTTAACTGGCTTCAATATACAAAAACATATCAGGAATGCAGATCTCCTAAACATTGAAGAGTCACATAACAGATAGGTAGCTGATAGCACAGTGCACAGCACTATCAATAGATCTACTAGTTTTATGTCCTATAAATCTACCAGACTCTACCTTCTATACACACTGACTAGTAGTGACTGACTGCACTGTTCCCATTTAATTCAGACCAATAAACCAATACTAAACATAAACTGAACGATAACCAAACAAACCTCATACGACTTGAAATGAGACTTGAGTTATGAGAAAAGCTAACACTGTTTGAAATAAACATGTGCACAATTCAAATATTTTATATCCATTCACTGCATTTAATTATTTTATATATAGTCTTATAATTGTAATTGTTTTGTTTCCAGTTTTAAATTCACCTATTTAAAGATTGAAATTAAATATTTTAATTAGAATACTCGTATTAGGGTGGAAAATCTTTCTAATTGCCTAAAAGGTCAATACAATCTCAACCTCTCAATATACAGGGTGGAGCAGAACCGATTGAGCAGTTTTGAGCTAAAATACAAGAGTAACAGAGGTACATAAAGAAGAAAGTTTATTTTCCTAGAGGTTAGCATAACATACCATTTAAAATACTTATGTTTTGAAAACAATATCTGGAAGATGGGGCTGTTAGCTGCAACACACTGTTGGAGTCGTTCTCAGAGGAGGGAGTAACCATGACAGTGAATTCCGATTGCTATGCTACAATGTTGCCAAATTTCTTGCAGCCAATGATGGAAAACATTGTTGAAAATGAAGCATTGAGAGACGTGTGGTTCCAGCATTGCTAGCTATGCACAATGTATTGCACACTTGATGCCTCTGTACCAAAAACATTCCATTTATTGGAACCTAATACACACTAAAGGCAACAAGTTTACATACCAATTTGTCATTCATAGTACATTTATACTAAACCATGAATAACAATACCTCAATATAAATTAAAGACTGCCACTCAATACTTTTAAATATATGAAAAATCAAAAAAATAAAAAAAATCATGATTTTTTATAAAAAAATCAAGTGATTTAATCACATGATTTAATCATTTTGATTTAATCATTGCCAACCCTGCTCGGGGACGACACAAAGATAGTCAGATCGTCCGCATATGAGGCAATGTTGGGGGTCGGAACTGGGATGTCGGAGATGAAGTGGTTAAAGAGGGCTGGCGAGATGACTGAGCCCTGGGGCACTCCGAAGTGAACAGCCGTGAAAGGCGACTGCGCTCTGAGATAGAGGCAGGACGCCAGCCTCCACAAAGAGACATGGCTACATACCCAGTGCTAATTGGTCAAAGTTCCTCTGCACAAAGAAACATGGCTTCATACCCAGTGCTAATTGGTCAAAGTTCCTCTGCACAAAGAGACATGGCTACATACCCAGTGCTAATTGGTCAAAGTTCCTCTGCACAAAGAGACATGGCTTCATACCCAGTGCTAATTGGTCAAAGTTCCTCTGCACAAAGAGACATGGCTACATACCCAGTGCTAATTAGTCAAAGTTCCTCTCCACAAAGAGATGCGGCTTGATACCCAGTCCAAATTGATTAAAATCTCAAAAAAGTCTGACCAACAATAATTCTGTATTGAAAACAGTCAATACAGATATAAAAGGTACCAAGCATTCCAAAGGATCTATGGGTTGTTCAAACCAAACAATTATCAACTGATTTCCTATGAAACTTAATTTAGAAAAAATACTAGTGAACTGTATTAATTGCACTATTAAAAAATAACTAATATTACTTATAATCATTGCTACTATCACTGTGCTCTTCAAAATGTTTGAAATCAATTTGAGGAGATCCAAAATGCAATTAATATTCAACGGGAAGAAACTCATGTGCCTGGCAGCCTGTGGCAATAAACAAGCTAGTGATAGTCAGCAGGCAGTGCTCCAAGTAGTCCATTGTTCAGTACTGCAGAATTTTTCAATAAAGTTACCTATCATGTGCTTTTTTTTAGCTCCTTGACAGCTAAACTCATTTATAAATATAAGGAAACAATAGATTCTTTAAATTCAACTCGATGCCATAATCAACTCAATCATAGCAGATACAACAATGTCAGTACAGGAGCGGTATTCTTGGTACATGGTAATTAGTGTATTCTTGGCATATGGTTTTGGAGCATGCGACTGTGAGGCGGAGCCATAAGTACCTCTATTCCTAGAATTTCACTATGATGGAAATTTCTGTTAATGGTCTTTTATATTTATACTTGTTGACGTTGTTGTTGTGATCATTGCAGCAAGATTAGAAATTTGCTACTTAATACATGTACACTGTCATGTGGAATTTTTTTTTATTTGGAACTTATTATTTTATTTGGAACTTTTTAATTTTTTATTTTTATTTGGAACTTATCAGGATAACACAAAATGGGAATTGCTAAGATAGTGATAGGTAATATTTGTATCTACGTTCATAAGGGTAGAAAGATTATGTATGCCTTTAAAATTGTTACACTTTATCAGAATGATTTATCTTGTATATACAAGGCCTGTTATTGAAGAATTTATTACAAATAGTTGACCAATGTAAAAAATTGTATTGAAGTGAAATTAATCGTATATTTCTAATTAGTTACTTCTTACTTAAATGAGAAATGATTAGCAACAGGCTTAATCCCAGTTTTAGCAACAAGTCATAATATACAATGAAGAAAGCCCTTCATCATTTGTTTTAGAGTCTTTGTATATATACATATTATCAATATTTTTTTGTACATAGATGCAAGATTTTTCTAATTGAAGAATCTCCTTTGCTTCTAGACATAAAAGTATAAGACTACTTTATTGGCTTCTAGTTAGTAGGAACTTTAAGAACTAACACTTTCTTTGTGCCTTGGTAATCTTCATCCAGACATTAAATCAGTTGTCCCCTCAGCTGTTCAAGATTCAATATGAGTGCATATATTTGATCTTATATATTTATAGTGAAACTTTGCCACATCAACTTCTCCAACTTCACCCAGCTCACTAAAAATGGCTTGCTATTTAAAGAATCATTCTTCTCGATATCTGATTGGGAACTTCAGGTTACTCAGCAATGCTATTGAAGGTAAGTGTTCAGAAAATAAGATATTATTGTTATACAATTGGTATTTTTTCCTCTCCATAAAATAATACTCCAGCTCTGTGATTAAAACTGGTTTGAGATAGACAGCAAAAAGCCATGTTCACCTTCTGATGCATTTTATCTTGTGTTTCCCTACAAATATATTCAAAGTTCTCTTCTGTTTCAATTTGCTAATGGCTTACGGGTTGCCCCTTCTCCTGCACGCACTGTAACTGTGTTCAAACTTTGTTTGGACAGAAGTAATTTCTGTTGAACATTTTCATCTGAAAAAGCGGTAAACTGTTATATTTTAATATTGTATTCATTAGTTCATTATACATTTGACTGAGAAGATTATATAAAAGAGCGTTGTCAACACAAGGAAGCAAGGCATTGACGCGTGGTGTGTTGGACAGGATCAGCCAGGCTGAAAGCTCAGGAGCTCAGGACTGGCCTGAAGCAGAGACAGAGGGCTTCGTTAGCCCAAGCAATAACCCTCATAGAGACGACCCATCCTTGCAAGAAGAAGGTCGCTGTCCAGCTCATGGACTTGCTCTTGAAGGACGCGGCCGAAAATCTTACCTGTCTAGGGCCTGATTCTTTGTCGATGCGTATAGGTTTGTCTGGACCCCCTGGCGCCGGTAAATCAACTTTCATCGAAAAGTTTGGCAAGCACTTGACAGGTTGTGGTCACAGAGTGGCAGTTCTGGCTGTGGATCCATCGTCAGCAACTACTGGTGGTTCGATTTTGGGTGACAAAACCCGCATGCCGGAGCTTACTGTTGATCCCTCAGCCTACATCAGACCTTCTCCTGCCCGAGGACACTTAGGAGGTGTCACTCGCTCCACCAACGAAGCAATAGTTCTATGTGAAGCGGCTGGTTACGACGTCGTCATTGTGGAGACTGTGGGGGTTGGGCAAAGTGAGATATCAGTCGCTGACATGGTCGATCTCTTCGGGCTGATTATTGCTCCTGCTGGTGGGGACGAATTACAAGGGCTCAAGAAAGGTATAGTCGAGATGTGCGATATGGTCATAGTGAATAAGTCGGATGGTGACTTGTTACCTGCTGCCATGCGTACACAGGCCGACTATCTGTCGAGCTTGAAGTACGCGCGTCCTCGGTGGCGGGACTGGCGTGTACCCGTTCTTCGAGTATCATCGGTCACATGTGAAGGCTTGGAGAAACTCTGGGCGACGATGACCAGCTACAGAAAACTAATGTTGACCTCAGGGCAGCTGCTTCAGAGGAGACGAGAGCAGCAGAGGACGTGGCTGCACTCGCACCTGCAGGAGGCCGTCATGACTGAATTCATGAACACCGGCGGCATGGCTGCCGTTCTAGCGGACATGGAGAAGAAAGTTTCAGCTGGGATTGTGACTCCAGGAAACGCTTGTGATGAACTTGTACTAAAGTACAAACAACTCTTAAAATGAGATTCAAGAAGGCTCTGAAATACATACTATTAACTGCCCAAAAAAATGGACTAGTTTTAACGCATTTATGGTTTTTGTTGCATAGAAAAAAAAACTTAGCAGGTCAATGTCAATTCGATTCTGCTGAGATAAAGATGAGTGCGAATTAAATAAAGAATATCCAATGATAATTTACCCACTGATTTGGTCAACTTTTATTTTGCTTTTCAAGTTCCTAATAATTTCAGACCCTTCAAATTGTAAATTTTCTCTTCCAAATAAGTGCCATCTTACTTGTCGATTTTCATCAGGGTAGAAGGTCTAAACCAGTGGTTCCCAAACTTTTTCAGGCTGACGCCCCCTTTGGCTCCCTAGTGAATTTCTAGCCCCCCCCCCCCCCACAGACACATATAAAATCATGCTCCTCTTTCTATAAAATTTAGTACGCTGCAATTTTAAAAGATAAAGGTTAAACGCAGATGGCATGTATTTCGCAGATAGAACCCCTTTTAGTGAACCAATATGTTTTTCAGCTGTTTTAACTGTTTCAGCACTAGAAACCTAGGGCGTCTCGGGCAAATTTACGGCCGGACTCGTCGCCGGTCTCACGACCAATCTCCAAATTCAATTATCAAGGAATATCTTCCAAACTAATGAACGCACCTCAATAAAACTTGGAACACGTATTTATCAGAACTTAACGGTGATGTTTGGCTTGTGAAAATTTTTTAAATTTCACCTTCATTCGTGAGTTATACTGCGATACAGGCCGAAATTCGCAGTGATCGAAGAATTTATTCCGAACTACCGAACAGATTTGATAGAAATTTTGAATATACATTCCTAACTACCAAATGGTGCTTTTTAGATTCAAAAAAATTTTGGATTTTACCTTTTTGCGAGATTTTTTTCATTTCACCGTCATTCTTGATTTCACACTTCCTTATATTCGGCCCTTATCGCCGGGTAATTTGTCGCTTAAATTCGCGGCGTTGAAGAAATTTCTTCTAAAATACTGAACAGGTTTCAACGAAACTTTGTATATAAATTACCTAGCCTCCCACCAGTGATGTTTAACTCGTGACAATTCTTTTATTTTGCTTTCTTTCGTGAGTTATACAGATATAGGAGGAACGACCGACTTTTCTACCGGCTGGTTTAACCAAGAGCCGTTTACTTATAGCCGTACAACTCGCAAAAGAAAGCCAAACGAAAAAATTGTAACGAGCTAAACATTACTGTTGTTGAGGTTTGGTACTAAAATAGTAGATTTCGTTCAAATCTGTTCAGTACTTTGGAGAAATTTCTTGATTGCTGCGAATTTAAGCACGTATTGCTGTTTAAATCACGAATGAAACTCGCGAACGAGGGCACATTCGAAAATTTTTTACAAGTTTCATCGAGTTACGTTCATTAGTTCGAGAGATATTCCTTGATCATTGAATTTGAAAATGCTCCGTGAGACCGGCCGCGAGTCCGGCCGTTAAGTTGGCGGAGACCTAAACCCAGGAGAGGTTAAAAATATAATTCAGTACTCACAGCAGTGAGTGACAGAGAGCGCATTTTCTCGTCGACGAAAACGTGAAGTCGTGGACGGACGGACAGACAGACGGACGGACATGGCGAGCACAATAGTGCATTTTTTCCATAAATGAGAAAATGCGCTAAAAACAGATCTGGGTGAAAAAACCGTGGCTGGGCGTCATGTGCTGCACGTGTTGTGAACAAATCGTCAAACAAACGTTCGAACTTCTGACTTTGGCTTCGGACTGCCGGCCCCCTTATCGCCCTCTTCTTCTTTACCGCCCCCCAAAATCTTTCCATCGTCCCTGGGGGGGCGATATCGCCCACTTTGGGAACCACTGGTCTAAACAGACTAAACGTAGGCATTCAATTTGCTGAGTAAAATTTTTTTATTTCATTAAATTCCATCAAATTCTCAAAAATAATGTATGATTATTTGCAAATATATTCTTGTGATTGCTAGTACTCACTTGTAAATATGCATGGCTATGCGCACTGCCCTGATGACCTGAAATCGGTAATTGCATTAGTAACGTTAATAAAAGTATCGGTTTATTTGGCCTTTCCTTAATTTGAAGGGTTTCTTGCATTTATTTTTGTGCACGTTTTATGGTGAATATTTTTATTGATTTTATGTTTTCGACTGATGATTGCAGATTATATTTACCTGCAAGAGACTTGAGACCAAATGTGTATTTTGAGAGTAGCAATAACGGTCATATTCTTGGAAGTAGTTTATCTCTGGCTTTATTGATGGTCTGCTTGGTAGGTCATTTCAAGGTCATTTGCCTCTTGGGTCATGCCAAGGGCAGTAAAAGTTCTTTCAATGTGTGGCGTGTTGTCCTTTACCAAGTGCGGCTACTCAATATTCAAGATTGGGGCTAACGAAATTTGTTCCCATGTTACCCAAGTTCCCACGCCAAAACACGCACGTTACCCATTTCGCATAAATCATAAGACATGTTATCCGTGACTAAATTAGAATATTGAACATATTTCCTTCCTGTCACTTAAAATAACTATTAATAAGTTAAATCTGGAAGGCAGTTAACCCCCAGTTTGAAAGCCACTGTTGTAAGACTCGTAGAGCTGAGGTGGTGTAAAATATTGTAATAAGTGTGTTTTTTTTTTTGTAGTTCTCTAGAAAATGTCAATATCGATGTTGCAGCTACGAGCTAAGGCCCTTAAAGGAGCGTCTCGAATCTTTATTTGCCTGTTTTTCATTTTCAAGGCTGAAAAGAATGTAAAAAAATAGACCAGTTTTATTGTCTCACATTTTCTTAGTTGAGGAAACATGTATCAAATATTAAGATGAAATTATTTGATAGGTACATTCATCGATTTTGAGAGCGAGCATTTTTAGTCTCTTAGATCTTCTTGTTTGAGCTGATTGTATTACTATGCAGCGATAATTATATAGTAATCATAATATAATGAAAAAATCTTTGTTATCTAACTAACCCTAAATTGTTGCACATGAACTCGAGCTTTGATCTGTCGAGAAATGCATCACTCATCGCGCTCTCTTGGTGGCTACAGACCAAACAATTGGAATTCATATCGCTTTGATTAGATGACGCTGCTCATTTCTAATGCCCTGATATAAACATACAACTGAAATGTTGATTATTGTCTCGAGAAATTATGATGACATGATTCCCGATTTGTGATTACACATTGGCGGGGTTGCTTTGCCGTTTCATTTTCTGAAACTAAGTGTTGAACTTGCTGCTAACAGGTAACAGTGTACGGTATCATTTTACTGATTAACAGGAATAGATATAGGCATGCAGATATACCTACAATACCGGGACTGGACTGTGAGAAACGTATGTTACGCTACGAATTGTTTCATGAAATAAATAAATGCGTTTATCATTTGATTTTGCTAATGTTATGTCCATTCGCAGCAAATATCCCGGTCATCTTCTCTGCGAGCTACCAAAACTTCCCTCGCCCTCCGTCGTATGATCGTAAGTTTCGCCTGTTCACGTCCGCAGCGTGCTGCTAATTTAATGAGTCATTAATCTTTCATCATACTACTACTTTAATAATTGCCATTAATCCTTCATCGTAGTGCTATTCTAATGATTGCCATTAATATTGCATCGTACTACTACTTTAATGATTGCCATTATTCTTTCGTCATACTTCTACTTTAATGATTGCCATTAATCTTTCACTGTATTACTACTTTAATGATTACCATCAATCTTTTCATTGTGCTACTACTTTAATGATTGCCACATTAATCATTCATCGTACTACTACTTTAATGATTTTCATTAATCTTTCATCGTACTGCTACTCTAATGATTGCCATTAATCTTTCATCGTACTACTTCTGTAATGATTGCCATTAATCTTTCATCGTACTACTTCTTTAATGATTGCCATTAATCTTTCATCGTACTGCTACTTTAATGATTACATCAATCTTTTCATTGTGCTACTACTTTAATGATTGCCATTAATCATTCATCGTACTACTTTGGCGTGAGGCTTCCATGTACATTGGATGCTTCACTATCAAGTTGAGCAACTGTTGCTCTTGGAAATATTATGAGAGAAAAACATTTCTTAAATATTATTCAAGGTTTGGTTCGGTCCTGTGCCATGTATATATTGTATGTCCATTTGGTTATAATTACATTCCATAAGGTCGTGTTTCTGAGCAGCATGCATCAATTACTCCAAGTCATAAATTTTCTATGAAGAATACACGATAATTAAAAGTAACTATAATTAATATCGTCAGATATCGTTTTGCCGGAGTTGGAACAGCGGAAGTTGCGCTTTCTCCCCAAGACGCCGCAGTTCAACACGAAGGCACCAAAGTATCCGCGCCGAAACGATCTCATTCGAGGGCTTGAGAAGCTCCAGACAGAGTTCCTGCACAACCAATACGGCGTCGTGGTAAGGGCTTGAGAAGCTCCAGAGTTCCTGCACAACCAATACGGCGTCGTGGTAAGGGCTTGAGAAGCTCCAGAGTTCCTGCACAACCAATACGGCGTCGTGTTAAGGACTTGAGAAGCTCCAGAGTTCCTGCACAACCAATACGGCGTCGTGGTAAGAGCTTGCGTCGTCTCTCGCGTAATGAGCAACTGGGATTCTAACTTGCAACTTCGATCTCCTGTGCAGAATCCAAAAATAAACCCAAAAAAGGCATAAATTTAAGTATGAATCCAGCTAGAGCTTCATTGGCTTGCTTATTGTTGAACAAAATTTTTTTTTAATCACCAACTGAACAGAACGAAGTAAATGACTAGGTTTAGTTTTGATGGGTGTTGTTGTTCAGAGATAATTTTTTTATTTTTTATAATTTTTGGGACTGACATATGCGGTGTCGTATTTATTTGAGTGATGTAAGAGGCACTAAATCCGTCAGTTTATTATATGTAGGGTGTGGCACAGACTTGTGAATAAGTGTTAAACGAACTTATTTTATTTCTTCCAATTAGAATGTAATTGCACCAAATGTGGACCAAAGTTGGTGTGTATTAAAGATCAAAGGACGTAGCGTTGTGATGCCCTGTTAAAAAGCGCGCTTTATTTTGCAGTCTCCAGTTCTCTTCCTAATAGACATCAAACTGTTTACTTTAAAAAAGCTGTAATTTCTCACACGCGGTAATGTTATGACCAAAAATGTGTCAACGTACGTTGAATTCCTGATGCCCGATAAAATGTTGAATTACGTCAGCCAATTGTGTTGTAATTATTGTTGTAGGAAACGAATGAGCTGATTGTGTTGTAATTATATTTGAAGAATACGAATGAGCTGATTGTCTTGTAATTATATTTGAAGAATACGAATGAGCTGATTGTCTTGTAATTATATTTGAAGAATACGAATGAGCTGATTGTCTTGTACTTATATTTGAATAATACAAATGACCTGACGTTGAAGTGATCGTTGCAGGCGCGTGGCGGGGCGTTCCTAGAGTGGGGCCACATAGAGATGATCCGCCACACCGTCAACAAGAAGATGGACCCACGCAAGATGTTCGCGGTGTGGCGTATTGACGCGCCGTGGTTGCCGCGCACCAAGAAAGGTATTGGCAAGCGCATGGGGGGCGGCAAACCCTCCATCGACCGCTACGTCGTGCCCATCAAACAGGACCGCGTCGTCATCGAGCTTGGTGGCAAAATATCATTCGCGGAGGTGAGAGTCATTATACGTACTTGTTCAATTCAATATTATTAATAATATATTAATTTGTTCAATGAAATTATTCAAAAATTATAATCGGCGTAAAATAACGCTTATTCGAGAAAGTTTTATTCCCTTAACCCATCGTGGTGAAATGATGCTTGTACAATACAAGATTGTTCCTTCAATCCGTTGTGGTGAAATGACGCTCATTCACTACAGTATTATTTCCGTCACTCTTGTACAATAGTGTTTTTTCACTTCGCCGTCCTGGTGAAATAATGCTTACTAAATGAAGTATTATTTCCGATACTACCTTTATTGGTGAGTTAATTGACTCAGTTTGCTGCTTTTCGAGGAGCTCATCGTTCCTCCTTAGAACAATGGCAGGACAGCAACACTGAACACGATGCAAGGATCCAGGTTTTATTCTGACTTATTTTGTGACTTTACATATCAGTTCATTCTGCCATGGGTGGGTGCACTCAAATTGATTCATGCTAATGACTAGGGGACTTACTATCAAAACTCGCTTAAGTCCATACGTGGCGGCCTATGTATAGATAGCTGCAGATTCCTCGTCTATACTTGGTGGGTTTAGCTTGATTGGCCGTCAGTGATTGAACTCGTAACTATCTTTGATAGTACAGCTGATGATGAGTTCTGAACGACCAGGGCTACGCTGATGCCTTATCTTCAATTTGTTATCCGATGCCGGGAATGGAGCGCGGGTTTCCGCTGTCTAAGTTTCAAGCGTGTGCATCATACAAAATATCTGAGGCCGTACTGTCAACAATCAGTACGAGTTTGTGACTCCGTCAGCCAATTACTAATTGCCTTTCTAGCCAAGGCCACTAATTACATACGAGTAATGTGCTGCTACATGTACTTGAGCGAGTTCTAGTAGTACGTTCCCTGATGACCTCCACTGTGCATGAACGGCCGCGCTCAAATTGTCCTCCAATGCCGGCAGTCTAATCTAACTCGGGCTTCCGACGCGTAAGCTGTCGCCTGTGCGTCATGCAAGCTATCAGTTTAATAAATTACCCAATGTGTGGCAGGCTGAGCCGATCCTGCGCGTGGTGGCCCAAAACTTGCCGTGCTTGGCAGACGCCACGTCAGCTGAGGAGATGGCTTACAAGAGAGAGCGGAGACGGGAGCTCGAGGCGGCTAACATTAACCCGCTTACCTTCAAGTATTTTGTCCAGAACAACATCCTGGGCTGCGACCATTGGCTTACCGCCGCCGACAGGATATACTACGGCAAACTTCCGTAGATTTATTTCGTAATAAATATCTTTCACATTATGGAATTCTAGTGAAACAAGACTGGTCAAGTGTTGCTCATGCAGGTGAAATCAATGAGAGCTCTTCAAAATGAGTAGAAGTTGCAAATATTTTGACATATGGATGGTGAATATAATTTCAGTTTCTAAACTAAGCCATTTTGCATGTTGTACATTAGGGCTGAGACCTAATGTCTCAGCCTTTTTAATAATGTAATTATTAAAAATGTTTCCATTTTCTTCTATACCTTGTTTCTGACCCGCAAGAATAACCGTTGTCAGTTTGAACAATGCGTACATGCTTCGTAGAACTCAGTATTGAACCGTAAATAACGGTTTAATGCTATATAATGGTTGAGGAGAGTTAAACTTTCGGAGCAAAGGTAAGTCATTGTATATTACACAGGTTTCCATGCATGCAGAAGTGAGCACTCAACAAAGTAACAGAAGCGCACACGGTATATTCATAACCGCATTCATTTCATAAATTAATTCCTCATCAATCATTATTATGGAGGGAATTGTGGTCGAAGGCATGGATTAGAAAACATACACTATAATGCGTTGATATTCCTTACACAAAATGCAACATTGTGAGCCTTTCTTCCGCGATCTAATTGCCATGTTTGATTTTCTATTACATCTTCCTTGTGATAACAAAATATGTTATTAACATTTCAACGACGCAGGTTTCTTACAATTCTCATCCGTTTTGCGCACAACAACGAATCTTGCAGATGTTGAAATTCGATAGATAGCGAAAAGATACTAGGCGCTTAAATATCATTGAAGATCTATAATAAGAAAGCGTGTAATAAATTGCTTCACTTATATTGATTTATGGAAAAATAACATTGCAAGACACAAGGCCCGTAGGTAATTTTTGCAAGTACTCAATTGACGCAAATTCTTGAATTAGCACAACAGACCGAAATATAATGGATGGTAAGGTTGACATGATGAAGGTTTTAATTCATGAAAGTTATGCTTGTCCATAAAAACAATGTTCACCCACTCCCCTATGGGTGCATTTTGAAACAATAACAACAGCAAAAAGTAAAAACATCCTTAGAGCTGCTCGCTGATAAATAAACAGTGCATAGCATTAATGTAATTATACATGCTTGTAAGTAAACAAATAATCTCACATAATTTCAGTGATGGAAGTTTGTGTGCATTCTGCTGTTCGCTGGACGGCGTCAGCCAACAACAGAGATTGCATTTCGATGACTAGTTTAATTATCTGTACCTCAACTATGAATTCACAATATTTTGACATAGTTCTTGTTAATAATTCTTTCCGGTGTATGGCACAACGATAATTTGCTAAAATTTCTTCAGAACAGTTACAGCTTCACAAATGGTAGATAAAAATAAAAGTTCACCGTCGTGTCCTTGTCATCCTCTACGCTGTAAGTATCCCTAGCAAGTAGCAAGACTCCATACTAGCACCGCATATCACGTATCACGGCACACAAAGGCGTAGTTTATTACTCAAGAAAAATTCTTTAGAACGATACAATGTAATTACTCTACATGCCTTCCTGAACATGGTATGCGGGATGCTTGGAAAAACAAACCGCGGCAGTAGCGATCGAGTAAGTAATTCTGATATGTTTTCGTTAAACTATCGATGGACTGTAGGATTTGGCAGTGCAAGGATTTTACGCACATTAAATGATCAGGCCTCGGAGGAACATAAAACGCGCGACCATAATTTTATCAAGGATAGAAAAATGAGCTGGATTGTGAAAACATGAACAAATCGGCGACCGTACTTATACTGGTTACTTCGAATCTTTACAAATAATATATTATAATTGCACCTAGCTAAAAATATAAAATAAAATATCTTCCTTAATTTTCATAGTTATTCAGTTGCAATAGGCATTAACAAGAATTTTCTTGTCTTGCGGCTGTCGAATTCAGAAAACAAATAATGATTTCAATGATGGAAGTCTGTATTTTCAGAAAACCAATAATGATTTCAATGATGGAAGTTTGTATTTTATCAATATCATGACCATTTAATTGTTTGCAGGACCATTATTTGTTCTGGCAAATGACGCAACTCATCAAACTCATTGAAGACTAAAACAGCAGAAGCTTAACTTTAACTCGGCTAATTTCTCACTAAACTGGTGCTGGATTCCTATGAAAAAATATTTTTTGGATGTTCACGCTTCAATCGAAATGGAAATTTGCAATAGATTTAAAATTTCATATTAATATGACAAATAACAATAAAATTCAAGCAGGTTCTAAATCCCGTTACAACTAAAATCATAAGGGATTTAGAAATTACTCGTCTCTAGAAGACTCATCAGAAATTACTCGTCACTAGAAGACTCATTCAGAGCGCTTCGCTAATAATTTGCATATTGGATCAGACAATCAAGGGAAAAAATTGTGAAATTTTAATCTATGCTTAGAAACAATTTGGACACCTTTTCCATTCGCTTATTATCATAATTAACCTGTACAGCACGGCCGTGATTTCCTGAAAGAAACTCAAGCACTGAAAATTCTGTGTGATAGTGTGTGGGCGTTGTGGGAGACCAAAGCCCCTGTTACCTGGGTGGATCTTGAAAGCGTTGTAGTTACGGCAGGTGTACAGAGCGAGTGCGAGCCTCCCGTACGCCTAGCAGCATCTGTGTGGGATCCTCGAGAAATTTAGCGAGCGTGGCGAGAAACTCGGTCGCTTCGGCGTCGTCCACGACCAGCCGGTCGTACGATAGCGTGGCGCGCATGCGCGTCTCAAATACGCCGTCTCCATCTGCACAGGAATTGCTAGATCACTTCAGGGAAATGGTTTCCAACTTGGAAATAAATTGCACCTTAGGGACAATTTGTCAATATTCTAGGTGATATTGAGAGAGGGAGTGACGTTACCAAAATCCATCTATGTTGATAAATTTGAAGATGTCAGATGCGTATACTGTATAGTGACGTGTTAAATTGAGTAGAGGGGAAGTTCGTGTTTGTTCAAAAACTTCATACGCTAATAATTAGCTAATTAAGTAATTGAAATGCTGTTAATTAAGTAATTTGATGCTGGACGCCAGAATGCCGTCACTGATCAGGAGGGTGGCGTGTGGCAAAAGTGTAAATCGCATTCAAGTTATTTTACAGTGAACAACTATACGTGGTAGTGCGTTCCATAAGTCATACACTTATCACAGTTGATTGACCACGGCCTTGGGATGTTACTTCAACGTTAGAGCAAATTTAAATTAATTTTCTATACGTGAGTAGCATCTTTACCGAACCAATCAGATTTAACTTGAAATCAAGTTTTGATAACAGATAAAGGGTTTACTTTTTATTTCTCTCCTCGCCACAGAATGATAGTTTAAAATTTTGTAAATCTGGAATGCTTTGTAATAGTTTTTTTTTCAAATTTTGACTAGTTGCCTATATATGTACAAATTGTTCAATTTTCATTGCATTTACTTGAGTTTATTTAAATACTATATTATTTCATTTATTTGCACGCTGTGGTGATCAACCATCATCATTTCAGGTATCAATACAAGCAGTGAAAAATAACTTGGAAAAGCCCAAGGTATCCTATACAACAAGCTTTTATTTTTGTTCTAAAACAATCTGCCGCTAAAAGCCATCGACACCAAATGAAGCTTGCTAATATTTCAGATGCTTGTTAGTAACAGCTTTCGAATATACCAAGACCAGTTTAGATATTCTAACTATTTAGCGACATTAGTATAATACAATTGAAAACATGCCCAGTTAATTAGAGGATGATAGGGTGGTAGTAGTATAAGGTTTACTAGCGCTTCAGACAGGAATCTAGAGGATGATAGAATAAAAATTAAGCCAGAAAAGTGCAGTGAGTGGCAGCCAGTTTAGAATAAGTGTTATGCAAGAAAACATAAGCTTGATAATTAATTAATACATGGCAGAAGCTTACTAAGTACAGGAGCGCCGCTCCCCACGGCCAAGATGCCACACTGTGGAGGGTTGATCACCGCAGTAAACTCGCGGATGCCGAACATTCCCAGGTTTGAAATTCTGCACAAAAATAAAAGATTACAATACATGGGAAATTTAGAATATTTTCCATGAATACAAGTTACTCATAATGAATAAATATGAGGCAATTAAACATTTATCTGAAATAAATATGAAGTAAAAGGGTAATGATCACCGAAGTAGAATATTCACCATAAAAAAATTGTAATTAAACTGATTCAAAGTTAATCAGTGAATCATTATAACGTAAGCTACTATTCAATAGTGATAAAATAACTAACTTTTTCAGATGAAAAAATCTGAACTGCATTAAAGTTTGAATTAGAAATTTATAGTCGAAATGCATCGCAAAAAAAAAAGAAAAAATCCAAGAAATGCGTACGAGAAAGACCCGCCCTCGAACTCCTCAGGTTTGAGTTTGTTGATCTTGGCTCTGCCTGCCAACTCCCTGATCGTGTTTGAGATTTCCTTGACGCCAAGACGATCCGCGTCCCGAACGATGGGAGTGATGAGGCCGGACGGAGTGGCGACGGCTACGCTCACATCAACTGAAGGCGACACAACCGCCTCCGCGCCGCGCCAGACCTTGTTGACAACGAATATGCTGTTATATATTGAAATTTTTGTCATTTGAAATAATATACTACGAAATTCATTATTTTTCATAATGGAATAGGCTTCAATAGTATTGATAAATTTTAGGTAGTATTGATAAATTAGTGACAACTTCGGTGCCGCGCCAGACCTTGTTAACAACGAATAAATCATTATAGATTGAAATTTTTTTCATTTGAAATAATTTACAATGAAATTCATTATTTATCAAAATGGAATAGGCTTCAATAATATTGATAAAACTTAGGCTAGATATTAGTGACAACATTGGCGCCGCGCCAGACCTTATTCAGTGCAGGGTGATCAAGTAGTGACATGGCAACGGCCTTCACCACAAAGTCATTGAGGCTCACAGCAATGCCATCCTTCTTCAACTTTCTGCGCAGGGCGAGCAGCGCATCAATGCAGCAGTCCATCGTCGCGTATGAGTGAGCCGTACCGCTCTGTTGAAAAATTACCCTTTTATACTTTAACCACTTTACTAAACAAATGTAAAAATGTAACATTCCTGGCTTTTTTAATTACATTAAATTGAGTCGAGGTTTCACATAATGGGAATTTGAAGTCTTTTTTGCATTTGTATTTTCATGAATAAAAATCAAGCGCTCATGACACTGATGGTTAGCCATTACATTGGATAAAATAAAACCACTAACTTTAGACTGGAGGAGCCGCTTAGCAATAGCACGTCTCATATTGCTGACATCAACATCAGAGTAGGTAGCTGTAGACGGAATAGCTTCAGGCTCAGCAGCTTTGGCAGCTGCAGCTGGAGTGGATTTAACAGGTGATTCTGCTGCAAGAAGAGAAATGAAGTTTTACAAAATTTTTAGCCCGGATGTATAATTGTGCTTGCTTAGTTCTTGATTAATGACAATTAATGCTTGAATACAAATATATCATTACGGAAATAAACTTTGGGTTATGTTGAAATTGAATGGAAGGATATAAAAAGCATATGCCGTAACACCAACCAGTTTTCTTGACTTTCTTCACACCAGTAGACTGGATGTAATTGAGAACGTCTCCTTTGAGTAGAACGTCACGAGGTCCTGACTTTACAATCTGATCAGCTGATAGCCCATACTCTTGAAGTAAAAGACGTACAGAAGGCCCAAACTTCCTGCAGAAAAAAAAATTAAATAGCAACATACTTGTAGGCAAAATTTAACATGTTTTTATAAGGAGATTAATTTTTGGTACATTTTGTAGAGCAGAGAGCAAGATTTTGATACTTTCTATATGAAGCTAGTGATGATTTTAATTTTGGGGATGAATTGGCAAGCTCATATATGGGTAAAGATAATTTTTTGTTGTGAAACATAAAATTGAGCTGTCAAGTATGATGAGGCATGCTAACAGGCTTACATCACATAGCATGAATGACCTGATATCAGATGTAGCAATGCCTGAAGAAGGTTGAGTGACGGCAATAGCAATGCCATCCACATTAACAGATGGTGCAGAAGGCGGGGAGCAAGTGGCATCAACAGGAATTTCAATTGTCTTCCAATCTTCACCCTCAGGAGCTAGCACAGCTATTAGAGTGCCTATCTTGACCAAGTCATTTGTCTGATCCACCTGTGAAAATTGAGGAACAAATTGTATGAACAATATAGCTGCTATAACAAAAATTCATATACAAGTCATCAAATAGTAGCTTTCAAATCATGTTTAATATAAATTTTTAAACCATATTAATACATTGAAACTGGAAGAATAATAAATATTTTTGACATTAAAGAAATACAGTCCACACAAGAATACTTAGACACATGGTATACAATGCTTGCTTACCAATATTTTTGCTAGTGTTCCCTCTTCATCAGTTTCAAAAGAAACAACCGCCTTGTCAGTTTCAATATCACAAAGTACATCTCCAGGTTCAATAGGATCTCCTTCTTTCTTGAACCACTTGACAATCTTGCCTTCAACCATTGTTGGTGACAGTGAGGGCATTTTCAATGGGATGCCTTCTCCTGCAATAAAAAAAACATAAATGAAGCATGAATAAGCTGAAAAAAAATAAAGACAAAGACCTAAGTTCCAGTTACTAAAATAGGAAACACAGGATATTCATTTCAAATTAATTAATGTATCAAATCAATCCAAGATGGAAGTGTTTGCATGTGGTTTATTTATTAACAAAGACACACAAAGTCACTACCTACCAAATACTTTACCTAACTTTTAACCAATAAAAAAAAACATATAATGCTGGTCAGACCATCAGAACGTAAGGTTTTATTTAATCATTATAATTACAAAGGCGCCAGACCTGTATTATTCAGTTTGTTGGTGAAATTGATCACTTCTATTAAAGGCAGCCAATATATTCTGATCAGCCTCATTCTGAATAAAAAAGTATTTATATTATTGTATATTGTATTAGGGTTTTTTTAGTTCCATTAGCCTCCCTGAAGATTTTTAAACAAAAGCCTAGTTTAAATGCCACCTACTGTTCATATGCTATCAAAATTGTAAATAGATAGGTTTGTCTACTCATTTTTACTTTGTTTATTGGTGTTAATTTGATAATCTATGTTTTAATACTTTCAATATTGATATTATTTTGCTAATTGTTTGTACTTTTGTTCTAGGTTTTTGAACTGATGCTAGCATGGAAAACATCTACCTTAGGGGCTGCGATTTGAGCGTTTTCACCAATTTTGGAAAAGAAAGATTTCCGCTCAATGAATTGCCCCTCTATCTAATTGTTAATGAAAGTGCACAATCACAATCGGGCTACAAAATTTCAAATGTATTGAAAATTTGTCACTTTAAAGCCACAAAATTTTACAAACAAGTAGAAAAATTACAATACAAAACTGATGTCTGATGATTCAGCTGGACTTTAAAATGTTTTTCTTCATTAGATATGGAAATTTTTTCAATAGTTTTCTTTGCTTTCAAATTTCTGATAAACTTGCAATGTAAGCAATCAAGTGATCTAAATATTAAATTCTATTTATTTCATTCAAATTAATAAATTAATGAAAATAGACTTCAAGATTTAAAAATTTCTACTTATTACTTAAATCTTGTAGCTTCAAGTTCAACGTAATATATTTTTTATAAATTTAAAATCTTGCAGCCAAATCCAACTTTTTTTTTAATTAGAAAGGTCAATTCTATTTTTTCTTACAAGTTACAGCCTTTGCCATATTTCTTCAGAGCAAATAAAAAAAAAAGCAAATTCTTGCAGGCAATTCCAATATTATAGGATACCACTATGCAGAGGGTGGATGCAGCATCGCCAATATATGGATTTTTAAGCCCAAAGCGTTGCCGGCCATTTTAAAGATGCGTCGCCGGGTAATTTTTAATGAAAAGCCATTTACGCTGAGTAATGACGAACTTGAAGACTGAGAAATATATTAAATGCAAGAATTTCAATCTAAATGTGTCGGCAAGATCTTCTGAAGGCAAAAATTTTGCCGATAATGCGTCGCCATTGGTCTTTAAATCTTCGTTCACTCTCTGCACAGTGGATAGGATAGGATAGATAGCCATGTTCAACTATAATTTGTATCACCCACAACAGGCCACAGCCTCAGCGGATTAATGAATAATTTTATAACTGAAATTAAAATTTTAATCACACATTATATTAAAGTTTTTAACATATTTTGTAAAAAAAAACTGTACAATATTCCTAGTAATTATCATTAATGCTACTAACCTTGTCATAATACTTGTAGTATATTGTTGCCAGCCTCCAAAATAAATGATCAGCTACCTACTTAAAATTAGTAGCTAAAACTGTGACACATTATGATTATTCAAATAAAAAATTTGTAAGTTGTTAAATAGCTAAAGGTAGTTGCAATCCATTGAATGATTTGAATCCAAAGACCAAACCTAAAAATTGTAGGTCTGAGTCTGACCAGTACTATAGTTTATAGCTACTAGTAGTAGTACTAGTATGGAATATATCTACTTGGCGAGCCGCGACTGAATTTTTCGAGCCGTGGTTTTATGGATTTGCCAGCCGTGATTCCATTTCTACGAGTGATTGCGGAAGTTGAAAATTTTATGAAATGACATGTTTGCAAAGTGCAAACCGCGATTTTTTAATCAAAGAAAAATTTATGACATTCGAGCCGCGAGATTTCATACCTACTGAAATTATATGATATTAGAGCCGCGATATTTCAGACAAAAATAGGACTTTTCCAGACTAGTACTAGTATAGCAACAAGCAGCAAGGTAAGTGCAGTACCTTCTGAGTTCTTAGTGACAACCTATATCATTATCAGTAGACAGTACCTAGTATATTTCATTGACGGTTATAGTACTTAGAAGAGAGTTTTCAAACTCAAAGGGGTTGATTATTTATTTTGTTTTTCAAACTCACCGTGCACACAGCATGATTGATGCAAGTAGTGACCCAATATTCTACTATGAAATTGACTTCGCCTTGATGATAGATTGGAAAGCCGAATAAATACTTTCATTGCCTGCATTGTCAGGCAAAATAAATAAAAAGCGCCAAGAAGAGAGAAAAATTTGTGATCATATGGTTAGTTTTTACAGAACTCACAAACCATCCGGCTGATGACAGTTTTCTGTACTTGCGGAATAAATATAAATTTTTGCATCTACATAATAATAGCGGTTTCAGCATTTAGTAGGACTTTCGCCGATTCTTTACATCGCAAAACATTCACAGCTTGTTGCGGTCTCGCACTCACTGCTACAATTCTGCTGTGCTTAACCGCCCGGCCTCCTTGCCGATTATGAACAGAAACTGGCGCACAGAGCTGGGTTCGAACCCGCACCTCTCTACTCAAACGATCAACCGCACTGTCAATTTAAAGAAGCAGAAAATATTCATTGACGCATTTGAAAATTTCTAAAACACTAAAAATGTTCACTTCTAAACAGAATACTCAAATGATAGGAACCTGGTAGAAGTGTAGTAGCTATTTCGAACTAACGTCAGTTTAGAAAATATCCGATCACAGGGCCTGTTTTTAGATTTCCTTACACCTGTGAAGAAATGGCAACAAATACAAGAATAGGCGACAGGCCCCACCAAGTCCATTTTTTAGCGCCAATACCACTATACAGTACTACACTACTAAACTATAAATGCGCCCTGCGTTTACGAGGGTCAAACTCATAACTAAGCTGCCTGCTTTAAGCCAGCGCCACTTTTTATTGTCAATGCTTTGGCAGAACACTTTTTATTAAAAGCATTCACTTTGTATTGAAAAATTCGTGTATTTGTATTATATGTCATACGGTTCCCCCTATTTATCTCCAGGATCTTGACATATCTGGAGCTGATATTGAAATACTGACTGCTGCCCGTAAATACAATGTAATTGTACCCATGTTATCAAAACACGTTGATTTTAAAATACTATTGAGATGATAATCTAATAACTATATATTGCCAGCTTCGATAAATAGTTTCATGTGACGTAGCGTGATATAAAAGTTGTACGGCATCGCTAAACACACAAGAAACTTTTAATAGAGGCTCTCAATAAAATGCTTTGGTACTTCGGAAGGAGTTTACTCAGGTAGCTCCAACAGAACAACATTTATATCCTTTGTTTAGAAACTTATAAAAGGTGCTAAAGTACAAAAATAATGTGACAAACCCATTCTTTCTTGCGATCCACATACTTGAGGGCATGGTAATTGAAAAGGAATTTTCTGGTTTAAAATTTGAAAGAGTATGTGTAAAGATTTATCTGCCAGAACATAGAATAAAAATAACACGCGCTTGAACATGATTTTTGAACGATCATTATGCCATCACATTTTGTTAGAGAAAAACATTCGATTCGAATCACCTATCTAAAATATCTCAACAGATATGATACAAATTGTATACAATAAATTATCCAGCGATATTGTCATGACGAATTGTACGAGTATTGTAAGATTATTAGCAAGAAATTGATTGCACCTTCAACTTGAACGCGGAGTTTAGAAGTTATTTTCCATTTCCAAGTTTTCTACTCACCGCTAAAACATTTTAATAAAATTTAAAGTGAATTTAAAAGTTCAATCGGTGCAAGAGATTCTTAACTTAGGGAAACTGACGACACATAGAATTCGGAGTTGTAACTTCAAGACGATTTTGCGATGAGCTCTAGGCAAGGTTTAATAATCATTCGTCCAAAGGATACTGTCCTGACATTGCCTACAATTAATAATTACAAGGATTATGAATCTTTCACGGAATGCACTGAGATCTCCAAATATCATAGAAAACTAATGCATGGCAACTGATCCCATGTAATTAATTGTATATCTTCTTTTTAGTTCCATGTGCAGTCAATTGTATTAGACCAGTTACGACAGAAGGTACAGTTTAGTGTCAATTTAAATTCAGTTGTTCACGATCACACAAGCTGGATAATTCAAGAATTTGTAAATATATCGTAACTAACTTAATGTATACGAGTAATTTTGAACAGAAAATTTCTTTAATGAAATGCTCTGCTAGTGCGACGCAGCTTATGAAGTGATACCAATTGTTGAGGAACTACAAGTGAATAAAAAGTTATTATTTAACAATAAATTCTCTGAAAAATTTCATGATAATTAAAGATTCTACGAACACCAAATGGCGAAGAAGTCAGGTTAAAGTTTCACTGAGCCTGTACAAGATTTGGCCGCTGCCTAAGTAATGGTCAACCATATATAATTGTAATAATTCTACTTTAGATGGAAAATACCACTCAGGTGAGATGCTTAAATTAAATTGAGTATTCTAAAACTAATTATAAAAGAGATCGTAAATCATAAACAATAACTTTTATAATACAAATGAAGGTACTTGGAACACATTTATCATGTCATGGAAATAGACGGGGTAGGAAGATATTTACTTAATACAAACGATTATAACGAGCCGTTTGGAAGCATCTCCGAGGCTCCAATTCATTCTTAGGAGGTTCATAAGCCTATTGTCAGGCATGAAACTGTCCACTGTAGCTAATGCTTTGGAAAATACTGAACGATTCAAGCTTTTCGACAGTTGAGCCAGTAAAAATGTTTTTTTTTTCGTATAAAATGTTACCATATTGGTGATTTTATAAAGGGTTTGACACTAGGAGGGAAGTACGGCCGGGATGTGATGTCTTACACTAAGTCTGTACACTCTTGTTTCAATGTGATGTACAAGATGGCTATTGTGTGCTCAGCCACGACCAAAGGCGGCGCAGAGCATAAAAAAGACCTTAAAGGCTAGCGCATAATATTCTTCAGATATAAATAGAGCTTTGCGTTGCCTGTGACGAAGGCGGAGGAATACCAGGCGGTTGGGGAGGAAGCCCAATGGTCTGTCGTGGATGCATGACAGTATTTACTTGATAAACGTGCTGCTGGCCTGGCCCAGCCATTGCAAGCAGACTCACAGAAGGCGATCTAACGCTTTCCGCCCAGTCCCCCTGACTGTGCGGGGAGTTGGACCACTGACCAGGGGACTCGGGGGAAGGCGTGGGAAAGCTATCGTGGCTCGAGGTATTGGGAGGATGCTGGGGGGTGCCCTCAACCCCTGAGTGATGTGATGGAGGCGTCGGGTAGTGGGGATAAAAGCTAGCGTTTGGTTGCGGCTGCTGCTGGCCGTTGTGCCTTTGTTGCGCCATAACAAGCTGCTGTTGTTGCTGTCGCTCGTCTGATTGTAGGTTTTGAGCAGAAGACGTAGATGGAAAATCATACCCTGACGACGCAGTGGCTAACCTAAGAACAGCTAAGTGTGTGGGTGAAGTCGGCAGAGGAGGTCTAAGTTTATTAGGTGACGTAGGATGGCTAGGATTTTGTAAATGCATCGAGTAATGAGGTATAGACTGAGACTGTGGGGAGGTATGCGCTGAATGTGCACCTCTGGGAGGTGGTGGGGACGCGTGGGTGTGATGCAGCTGCTGCTGGGGATTGTAGCTCTGACTAGTGACAGGGGGGAAGGCCGCGGGCATTGACTGCTGTCTCTGATGAACGACGGGCTGCGGAGCAAGGGATGCGGGAGGAGTGCCGCCACTGTTGAGAAGTTGAACAAAGTTAAAAGGATCACTACTATCAAGGGTCTGGTGCTGCTGCTGTTGCTGATGCATGTTCCCGGATGACGTAACTGAAGTTAGGCAGTCGTGGAAGCCAGGGTTCGACTGTTTCAACGAGAGCTCGCTAAACTGAGGCATGCTCAAAGGACCAGAAAATTCTGGACTCATCTCCGTTTTGAACATCATACGGTGACCGTCCAGAGAGTTGGGCGGCATCTCAGAGGAGACAGGAGGAGGCGGAGGATCCCTCTTCTTCTTGACGCTGCTACTTCGTTTGACACTTGCATTGTTATCGGGAATCAAATCGTTAGGATTAATAGGAGGCGCCATTATTTGTGACTTCGGTCGCTTTGCTTTACTACGTGGTGCGGTGTTGGACCGGTGAGGTATACTCTGGGCTGCAACTGCAGGATGCTGCCCCCCCAAGTGATGCTGAGATAGATTAGGAGGGGCGTGTGAGAGGGGCTGCAGTTGAGGGGAACGAGGGTGGTGATCTCTCAATAGTTTGACGATGTCGTGGTGGTAGCGTTCCACCGCCATGTCTTCCGGTAGACGCTCCATGTTGTCTGTGATGTCACGATTTGCGAAATGGTCCAAGAGTAAGCGGCATGCGTTGTAACTGCCTTCTCGAGCCGCCAGAAATAGAGGAGTTTCGTCCTGAAACAAAATAAAAGTTAATATTGAGCACTAACTTAAGCAGACCAAAATCATACACTTATTGAGCCCAATTAATTGTACGAATTAATCACAATTTAACGGAAAAATAACGATCTATTCAGGCTAATTGGTGCAAGCTACGTTCCAAAGAGATGCACTTAATTATGGTTGTATCCACACTATGAATTTGAATGATATATTGTTATTAATTATTATTTACGGGTCATTACCACTATGAAGTCAATTTAAAAAAAATATTTCAGCCATATCCTGATAATACATGGGCTTTCTTCTGATATGACAAGAAAATCTGTAATCTCACTTTATTGTCTTGGATGTCAATATTGGCCCCATGTTTGAGAAGAATTTGGACGGCCTCGATGTTGTTGACAGAAGCGGCCCAGTGCAGCGCCGTCTTGCCGCCGTCGTCGGTGGCGTTGATGTCCGCCTCAGCGTTGATGAGGTCCTCGACCATGCCTTCGATGGCCAGCCGACACGCCAGGATCAGGGGAGTGGTTCCGTCATTGGTTTTCATGTCGAGTTTCGTGTCGCGGTTACGAAGGAGAATCTGCTCGTGAAATAAATGGAAATGTTTGTTCACAGTCACATGGAAGTAAATTTTTGATAATTTTTAGCGCATTTTCTCATTTATGGAAAAAATGCACTATTGTGCTCGCCATGTCCGTCTGTCTGTCCGTGACCTCAAGTTTTCGTCGACGAGAAAATGCGCTCTCGGTCACTCACTGCTGTGAGTACTGAGTTATATTTTTTGAAGACAGTGTTGACCAAAGTAAAATTTGAAATGCGTGCGTAAATTGAGGCAGTTGGGCAGAAAGTATTGGTAAAAGGGGTTTCAAGTTCAAGAGTTTGTCGTAAATAAGAATTAAAAGGCTGCGAGGACGTACGTATTCTAATTCTCGTGATGACAGATAGGAAAATTGACATTACTTGAATCGTAGGAGCAATTAAACTTTAAAGTTAATAGTTCACCTGGAAGACACCCCGAGCGTCAGCAGCCACAGCAGCGTGCAAGGGTGTGCGCCCCGTGGCGTCTTGCGCGTTAACATCGGCTTTGGCATCGAGTAACTTTTTGGCCGCGTCTGCACGAGCGTATCTGTTGACAAGGAAACTTGCTTAGTACATTTAAAGTCGTAAAACTTTGTCGAAGTGAGCTCCTCTTACAGTATTGCTATATCAACAGGTGTTGGGATACGCAGAACGCCTACAACACGAGTCTTAGTTCATTCTCAAGCATTGAAGAAGAGGCGGAATCTCACCTGGCTGCCAAATGCAGGGATGTTTCCCCGGTGCGGTCCATGGTTGCGTTCAGCTTGGCCCCTTGTTCAATAAGCTCCTGGATGACAGCGGCCGAGCTGTCCTCATCCTCTTTGATGGTGTAACCTTCCATGCCACCACCTCTGAATGACGCAATCATGAGTGGGGTGAGACCCATTGGTCCCTTCGGGTCCACCCCGTTGGAGGCGGTCGTGGGAACTTCTTGCTCCAGTTGGGGCGGAGTTAGTTCGATGCCGTCAGGATGTTTGATGTCCGCAGCATCCAGGTGTTGTTTAGTCCACTGACGAGGATCATTGTCGTCGTATTCTGATCGAACTCCAGGTACCTCAGCAGACGATCCATCTTTTCTCGAGCGCTTCGTTGGTGGCAAATCGCTGTCGTCGTCACTCCAGTCCTTGAAATCGCAAGGCAAGGCGATGTCCCCGCAACTGTCGGTTGTGATGTCTAATTCGGGAAGATGGTTAGGAAGCTGACCAAAGTTGTGCATTTCTTGGCCTACATCGACATTACTCTTCAGATGGGGCGGCTCAGAGATAGGAGGACTGGCCGAGTACTTCGTGAAGAAACCTTCGGGGAACCACGTGACTCCTCGGGCTCGTTTGCGATTGTTGGAAGTGATGATCATGAATAGAATTCCAGCAATTATGGCCACGCCGACAATTCCAACGATAACGTAGGTGTAGCTGTTAGGGGAAGGTTCAGGTTGATCAATGACGGAGACAATAGGGAAAGTACTATCAGCAACGGCCGCGAGGTGATTTGCCACATTTGCTATATTTTCATAACAAGTGCCCGTCTGGTCACACTTCCTTATGTCCACTTCAAGAAACACGATGGTACCGGTCACATCATCTTTTTGATAGGGATAAATCATTTCATCACCGGCAGCCTCATGACGTAGGATGACGTGAGAATCCAATAAGTTGCTTAGATGCCGCAAGAACTGCTTCTTGTGCTTCCTCAATTCGAACGGTGACATATTCACTTGGAGTTCCAATGATCCTTCAAGAATCTTGGGAGGACTTTGATCGCAGTCAAGTCCGTCCCAATTGCACTCGAAGCTGTTGCATCCCTGATCGCAGAATCCGTTGGCGTAATTCTTGGAGCAATAAGCGTCGTAAATGTCGTTGCAGGTTCCTTTTGTCATTTGACGACAGTCTAAACCATCGTAGAGGCAGTTTGCGTTGTTACACTCTTCGTTACAGTGACCGTTGGCAAACACCTCCCAACAGTTGATACTGGCATCGCAGTTTGCCCAAGGATTGCGTCCCATAGAGCACTCGTAACCGTCGAAATTGCACTCAATGTAGTTGCACTCTGGGTCACAAATCTTGTTGCTTTTCTTAGCTTCGCAATTGTTTTCTGCACACCGAGTCTGCAATGCTTCTCTTTCTTTGGACTGACAGTTTTTACCAGAGTAGCCATCACGACAGTAGCAATGATAACTGTTAGCAAATATTTCACACGTTCCGCCGTTGAGACATGGGTTGTTGGCACAGAAATTAGGGGCGGATCGAGGGCCTCCGCACTGATAGCCTCCTTGGTATGGACGACAAATTTCTCCAGGTTTGCATGTATTATTACTGCAAGCATCGACCGGAAACTCGCAGTACTTGCCGGAATATCCAGGTGCGCAGACGCAGCTTTCTTTGTTGTTTTTAGAATAGTCACAGATTCCTCCATTGCGACAAGGAGAACTGCTACAGACGTCGAATGCAATTTTTGAGTCACAATGTCTGCCCATGTAGCCCGGCTTGCAGGTGCATCTATAGTCATTAATTAATTGAATGCAGTCTGATGTTCCTTCCTTGTTGCAAGGATTGGACAAGCATTCGTTGACGTCTCCCTCACATTGCGCTCCGACAAAGCCAGGGCGACAGCGACACTCAATACCGCCGACCTTATCCACGCAAGTGCCGCCGTTGTGACATGCTCCTTCGTAGCAATCGTTAGGGTTGATCTCGCACATCTTACCCACAGTTCCGTGCGGGCACGAGCACTGCACGTCGTTCACGAGGTCATGACACACTCCACCATTGCGACACGGATTACGAGTGCAGTCATCGATATTGTACTCACAATCGAAGCCTTGGAAGCCTGGCCGGCATGTACACGTGTAAGAACCAACGTGATCATTACACGTGGCGCCATTTTTACAAGGGTGCGAGTCGCACTCGTTTATTTCATGCTGGCAATAAGAGCCTTCGTATCCAGGGAGACATCGACACTCGTGCGAGTTGTCCTTGTCATAACATCTGCCTCCGTTGTGACACACTTGACTCACAGGGACATTGTTGTTGGCTGCAGCTACCGCGCACGACACCGTAGCGACGTCGCACAAAACGCCCGTCCATTTCGGCGGACACTCGCACTTGAAAGTGTTGCGTTTCTGAACACATTTACCTCCGTTTTCGCAGGGATGAGTAGCGCACCAGTCCACGTACGTTTGACAGTTTCTTCCAGTGTAACCGTAAGGACAGTGGCAAGTATAAAATCCAACCTGGTCAATGCAACGTCCATTGTTCTCGCAAGGATTTGAATCGCACTCGTTGACGTGATTCTGACAGTGAGAACCCGTAAAGCCTGGCAAACATTCGCACTTGTAATTATTGATGCCGTCTTTGCAGGTGCCATTATTCATGCAAGATGATTTGGTGCAATCTTCATCGTTGACTTCACAGTTGGTTCCGGAGAAACCCAGTGGGCACTGGCACGTGAAGGAGTTCACGTAATCGTGGCACGTGGCACCGTTCTGACACGGGTTCGAGGCGCACTCGTCCAAGTCGTGCTGACAGTTGACACCTCCGAACCCATCCACACAGAGACACGTGTAGTGCCCTAACCCATCCAGGCACGTGCCGCCATTAAGGCACGGTCTACCGGCACAATCGTTGGTGTTCACGGTGCACTCACGGCCCTCGTATCCCAAGGCGCACTCGCACGTATACGAGCCGTTTGTGTTGTGGCACGTTGCGCCGTTCTTGCAGGGCGACGGGGAGTATGTGCACTCGTTAATGTCTTCATCACAAAGGCGGCCGGTATATCCAAGCTTGCAGTCGCAGAAGAAGTCGACGTAATTAGCAATAGCATTGCATTTGGCCCCGTGCCGACACCTGTTGGGGGAACAAGGGTCCATGCGCACCTCACAGTCGTGCCCCGTATAGGGTAAATCGCAGACGCACTTGTAGGAGTCGACGAGATCGATGCAAGTTCCACCATTATAACACGGCCTACTAAGACAGTCATCGATGTTTGCCTCGCAGTTACGACCACTGAAGCCAGGATGGCATGTGCATTGATAGGAGTTAAGAGCATCTCGACAGGTTCCTCCATGTTGGCATGGGTTCGACTGACACTCGTCGATCTCCATGTCGCAACGATGGCCGGTGTACCCCGCAGGGCACTTGCAGATGAACCGGTTGACATCATCGTAGCAGGTTCCACCATTACGACAAGGGCTGCTGGCGCATTCGTTGACGTCGGACAGACAGTGAGCGTCGAAGTATCCAGATGGGCAGAGGCATCTGTAGCCATTCACTAAATCCACGCACTCACCACCGTTCGCGCATGGCTGGGAGGCGCATTCATCAATGTTGATCTCACAATGGAGACCCGCGAAACCTGCGGCGCATTTGCATGAATATTGGTTTATTCCATTGACGCAGGTGGCGCCATTGCGACATGGGTTGCTAAAGCATTCGTTGATGTCGTACTCACAGTTGACTCCAGCTGTACCCGTCGGACATTCACACTGATAGCCGTTCACGAGATTTTTGCAAGTGCCTCCGTTTTGGCACGGTCTGATAGCACACTCATCGATCTCAGTCTGGCACAAGAGACCCGTGTATCCAGGATGACATTCACACGTGTATGAATTATTGCCATCCCTGCACTGGCCGTGACGGCATGGCGACGAGAGACAGTCGTTGATGTTGGTCTCACAGTTCCGCCCCGTGAAGCCTGGCAGACAAAGACACGCGTAATCGTTGACGCGATCTGCGCAAGTTGCGCCGTTTTCGCAAGGCTGTGATACGCAATCGTCGATGTCGATCTCACAACGACGCCCCGTGAACCCAGACACGCAATTGCAGTGATACTCGTCGATGCGGTCGTCGCACAGCGCCCGGTTGAGGCAGGGGCTGCTGGCGCACTCGTCGATGTCAACCTCGCAGTTCACTCCCGTGTATCCTGCGCAACCAGAGTCCATTATCTTAGCACGTGTAACATTAGAACTCATAATGTGAGCAAAAATTTAAAGCGATTACCAATTTTCAAGAACTAAAATAAGCATACTCAAAGGTCATACGTAAATCAAATCAGAATTTTCGATGGGATGTAGGTATTTATATGCTTTACAGAGTTGATCAAATGCGACATAAGTAACGCAAGCAGAACGAGGACCGGAAAACCATTACTGTAAATGAGAATGATGGATTCATGCAATTATTAAATCGTGTATGGGGTGGCTAAGCGGTGCCCATGTGCTGCCTATGTGGTGCCAATGTGATCCCCACGTGTTACCCATGTGATGCCCACGTGTTACCATGTTGTGCCCATGTTGTACACATGTGATGCCCACGTGTCACCCATCTTGTGCCCATGTGGTACCCATGTGATGCCCACGTGGTTCCCATGTAATGCCCATGTCCTACCCATGTGGTGCCTACGTAGTGTCGTATTTGCCACACACCTGGCATGCAGACACAGCGGAAGCCGCCTCGCTCGTCCAGACAGGTGCCCTGGTTGAGGCAAGGGTTCGACTCGCATTCGTTGATGTTGATTTCACAGCGCGGGCCTGAGAAGCCCTTGGAGCAGTCACACCTGAAAAACACAACACAAAACATCTTAATATTAAAACGTAGAAATTTTAATCTCCGTTCTTCCAGAAACTTGACAACCTGAAATTAAAAAAGTCAAGTATCCTGTAAGTGGATAATCTTTGGAGCCTACACCATACGGAACGAAATTAATTAGAAAGTAAAATTCTAGTCTAAAAGACTAGACAATCTACAACTAATTTGATACATCTTCATTAAATTATAGACTTGAGATATAAAAATTATCTCCATAGAATGGATCAAGTAATGAGTTCGCTTTATTTGATGACCTTAATGAAATGTATCAAGTAATATCGCCTTATCAGATGATCTCGATGAAATTGATTAAGTAATATCGCCTTATCCGATGACATCGATAGAATATATCAAGTATGAACCTCGATGGAATATAATAAGTAATACCGCCTCACCACACAAATAAACTCACCGGAATGACCCAGGGGTGTTGACGCAAGTTCCGTTGTGTTCACAGATTGGCCCCACGCTACACTCATCCACGTCGTCGGTGCAGTCCGTGCCCGTGTACCCCGTGGGGCATGTGCAGATGTAGCCCCCGTCGATGGGTGATGTGTCGCACATGGCACCCTCCTGACATGGGTTGCTGGCACACGCGTCTTCCAAGTGACACAGCAAGCCAGTCTGTCAACAGGAATGGCTTAGAAAAGTTGCTAAACGAACTTATTTTTATTAACCTGTCTGGCCGTAAGACAGTCTGGAAACAAGATTTGCCAAGTCGGGAAAAGTTGATGAACGAGCTTAGCAATTCTGCTGATTTATGGCTTCGGCTGCAGTCATCTTACAAGATATAACACCATAAATAACAGAGAAACAATTGGCACCATATAGCAGTAATAGTGATGCAGTCATCTCACCAGATATAACACAATAAATAACAGAAAAATAAGCCACCACACATGGCACCAACTCACAGTTCCAGGCATGCACTGGCACACGTATGTGCCGACTTTATCAATGCACGTGGCGCCGTTGAAGCACGTGGCCTGCGTGCAGTCATCGATGTTCTCGGAACAATCCTGGCCACTCCAGCCGTTCACGCAGATGCACGAGAAGCCGCCGTGGCTGTTGCTGCACGTCGCTCCATTCTGCGCAGTGCAACAGATAAGTAAATGGTTTCACTGTAAGTAAATGGTATCCCTGTTCTGTGCAGTGCAACAGATAAATAAATGGTTTCACTGTAAGTAAATGGTTTCACTGTAAGTAAATGGTATCCCTGTTCTGTGCAGTGCAACAGATAAATAAATGGTTTCACTGTAAGTAAATGGTTTCACTGTAAGTAAATGGTATCCCTGTTCTGTGCAGTGCAACAGATAAATAAATGGTTTCACTGTAAGTAAATGGTTTCACTGTAAGTAAATGGTATCCCTGTTCTGTGCAGTGCAACAGATAAATAAATGGTTTCACTGTAAGTAAATGGTTTCACTGTAAGTAAATGGTATCACTGTAAGTAAATAGTATTACTGTGAGTAAATGTTATCAATGTTCGAAAAAAAACGGTGAAAAATGGGTGACCGGCGTGTTAGTAGTCGGCAGCAGCGTGAAACAAAACCATGTCACCGTTTTTTCGGAAGTTAACATAAGAGAAAGAACAATCATGTTCGAATTTTACGGAACGGCCGGCCACTAAAATGTGGCCGGCCGTTTTTCCACCGCATTTTTGGAAAGTAACTGTAGAGTAACTCGAAACAACGTTATTTGAGCTGTTATCTTATTGGCAAAACACGAAAAAAACCATCATTCAATGTTATACTTGAAAGAAAGTTTAATTTAAAAAGTGGTCATTGAAGCGAGTGATATCGTTTTGACCGGAGTAACTGGCGTGAGATGGAATTTGATTTCAGAGAAAATGTAAATTAAATGAAGAATGATAACTCAGTAAAGTCATTCAATATTTTTATTCTTGGTGCATGCAAGTATTTGTGCAAACGAAAATATCACTTAAAGATAGAAAATGTTCACCAACAGTTCAAGAGCTCTAATACATAAATTCGCACGCGTAGCAACCTAACTCCACGTAGCAGTTTTCTCGTCTTTGGTAGTCACGACGAAGCCACGATCTCGTTTACTATTTCTTGCAGTAAGAAGGCCCCTGCTACACTAGAACTACTTGTTCAAGATATTCACCAAGACTGATTAATAAGAGACAAGAAGGTCAAATGACGCAGATTTTGCGACCCACCTTGCAGACTGTGACACACCTTGCAGACTGTGACACACCTTGCAGACTGTGACACACCTTGCAGACTGTGACACACCTCGCAGACAGTGACCCACCTTGCAGACCGAAGGTTTGACGAGACATTCATCCACGTCAGCAGCGCAGTATCGGCCCGTGAACGATGGAGGGCACGAGCACGTGTACGAGTTGACGCCGTCGACGCACGTGGCGCCGTTCTGACACAGGTGGTTGTGACAGTCATCGACGTTCTCTTCGCAGTTCACTCCCACGAAACCTGAAAACAAAGAGGAAAATATGATCTCAGTGGGGAAACATTTACATACGGAGGCGGCGCTCCAGTATCGGCTGGGACTGCTAAGTTCGGTACACATGTTAAGTGAACATATAAGTGAGGAAAAAAACTGCTTTTTGTTGAGCTATATGTATTATGTATTATATGTATGTATTGAGCTATATGTATATGTATTGTACGTTGTTAATCCTTAGAGAGGAAAAAGCACTGCTTTTCGCAGCGCTAATAGGTCTATATATTCATCTACGTTGTTAATACTTATAAGATAATAAAAAATTTACACTGTGTTCTCGTAGCATCTGTAAATGCAGAGTAAACATAAGAAGGAGTGCGCATAGACTAGTCAAAGCTGAGCTCACGCACCGAGCTGCTTCACACCGAGCTTGTTTACTCAAGTTACTGGCGGAAATGAATCATCGCGATGAATGTGAAGGACGAGTATCTGACATACAAAATAAATTAACGTTCAGTTGAGTGTATGGACTTCATACAACCGCTGATGCCTTTGCCATCTCATTGGCACAATATGTTAAATTCTCGCATATACAGAGAATTTCTCAACTAACCGAGTACCTTAAGAAATATTCCAATTATTGTTAATGTTAACTTGGTTGTCAAAGACGTTACGCAACAGAATAAAAATACATATTTTTTAACTTGCAAAAAATTTTCACTTCGAAGCTTTAGATAACTTCCAGAGTAAAATGAGTTTTCCCTAGAAATAAGTAACTTTATTCGAATGTAAAAATATTTTCAACAGTTATAAATTTGGCACAAAATATACAGAATTTTGAAATACATAAATATAAGAAGTTTACTCATATAAAAGCTATTTTATTTGAAGAATAAGTTAAAGTTTTAATGTTTTGCGCTAGAAGTCCTTCACTGAGCACCCCTCGCCGCCGACGCCTGTTTACATCAATTGTACGCCCTCGTGTGAATTGCACTCACTTGTACTGCTATTACTCTCATTGTCCTCACTATGAATTTTATTGTCCTCACTTATACTGCCTCACTAGAATTGTCCTCACTTGAGTGGCTGTGAGCCCTCAAGAGGCTCGTGTCTTGACTCACGCTCTGAATAACTTTAACATTATTCCTTAACAATGAAAACACAAACAATGGACGCTACTTTAACGTCAATTTTGAACAACGCAAGCAATCAATTTAGGCTTAAGGTGAAAAAATGACCAACCAAACATATAATTCATTTACAATTGGGGATGAATAGATATTGGGAGCTTAGATAAATTTTCAAGAACAAAATATGGATACTAAATTTTCAGAGACCAACAGAATGTAGAAAGAAATTCGAAGAGGAATTATACGTTAAAGAAAATGCTAATAAATTTGCCAGTTGCGGGCGACTCGTCTTTAGGACACGAGCACGTGTACGAGAGTGGGTCATGTGGAGTGTGTATGACTCACCTTTAGGTCACGAGCACGAGTACGAGAGTGGGTCATGAGGAGTGTGGACGACTCACCTTTAGGACACGAGCACGTGTACGAGAGTGGGTCATGTGGAGTGTGTATAACTCACCTTTAGGTCACGAGCACGTGTACGAGAGTGGGTCATGAGGAGTGTGGATGACTCACCTTTAGGACACGAGCACGTGTACGAGAGTGGGTCATGTGGAGTGTGGATGACTCACCTTTAGGACACGAGCACGTGTACGAGAGTGGGTCATGTGGAGTACATATCCCGCCGTTGCGACACGGTGAGGGGCGACACGGGACGTACAAACTCTCACAGTTGACTCCCGTGTAGCCAGCGTCGCATGTGCATCTGGACAAACACAGTACACATAAATAATACAATACAACAAATGGTACAAATAAAATGCATACAATATATATCTTCTGAAGTAAATACATCAAAAGATATCTTTGAGACAAAAATTTAAACAAATATAATAATAAAATGAAGCTATACATTTCCAAAAACATGAGTCGCATTTGTAAAAATAAAAACGAGTCGACCATTTGTTGCGAGTCAAGTGGATGACACAAATGCCAAACTATGATAATTTTTTGTGCTCTTTACTTAAGCCGAAAAATACTTGTACCATTCACGTGGTAAGAAGGTACAATAGTACTAGAATGATTAGACAAAAACACCTGAATGATTGAAACCAATAGAATGTTTTTTAATTTATTCCAAGATGAATGTACGTACTTATAAGACCCGAAGGTGTTGGTGCAGTGGCCATAACGGCACGGTCTCCTGCTGCACTCATCCACGTCTGTCCTGCAGGTGGGGCCTGTGAATCCAGGAGGACAGGTACAGGTGTAAGAAGAGTCCCCAGAGAAGCAGGTAGCTCCGTTCTTGCACGGCTGCCGTGCACAGTAGTCAGCCAGCTGACAACGGTCGCCTCGGTACCCGACGGGACACCGACACGAGTACGACTCAAGCGTGATCAGTTCACACGTCGCTCCGTTCATACATGGCTGAGTGTCGCACACGTTTGGCACTACGATCTCGCATAGCGATGCATTGTAGCCCACAGGGCAGTGGCACTCGAACTTGGCACCTGATGGCGTCAAGACGACCTGGCACGACCCGCCGTTTTGGCACCGAGGGCCCGGTCCCGTCAGGCAGGGGTTCAGGTGCTGGCAGTATTCGCCGACGTATTTTTCAGCACATCTGCAAGAAATAAATAAAAATTTTTAGTAATATGTCGACGTACGTGGCGGTGAAGAGTTGGCCAGTTTAGGTTGGCAAATCCGTAATAAAATATACACCAATAGCCCATAGGTTAAGACATCACAAGACACAAAGGAGGTATTTATTTTTAATGGTTATTCATTAAAGGAGATTCAAATGCCGCGAGAAATAGGAATATCATTGAGTCGCATTTCATGAAAAAAAGTCCGGAAATCTTATTTGAACAGAAAATAGCAACTTCGAGCAGTAATCCAATACGAGATGGAAGGTTTCTGAGTTAATCCATCAAATAAATTGTTGTGATCTGCTCGCATAACAATCAGTTTTGTGCACATTTATCCATAATAAGGTTTCATCAGCAACGAAAGAATGGCAAAAAAATGCAAATGTTTTCAAGTTTGTCGAAGATCGTGAGCCATTTCTTTCTATAATTTCGATGACGCAGCACTTCGTTGCAGACGGCATTGAGGAGTCATCAATCAGCGCGGGCTTCTACTTGCTAGCGATTACATTGAGATAAAGACACGTATTTAATGATTTAAAATGCGTAATAAGATCATCAAAAGAGCCTGAATGAGTTGATTAAGACATTGCGTACTTTGAGAAATGATCGCAGAATTTCTCAAATGTAAATGAAGTTTTGTGAAAATGCCGTTTTCCTTTCAAGATTTTGAGAAAGCTTTTGATGAACATCAGCGTTTGAAACATCTTTGTTTACACTATTCATGTATTTTTTCTTTGAATTTTGGACTTATTGCAGGAGGTCATTAAATGATTGAAAGTATACGTGAAATTACTTTTAAAATTTACATAGGGATGGTGCATGGATAGTTCTGGTAGAGACTCAAAATGGATGTGGAACGTACAGCGAACAGCGAGTCCAGACTAGCTTATCAGGCTGCAAATGGTTGAAAATCGAGAGAAGTCTTGACAAAATAGGGATTAAATAATGTAATGATGGAGTAGAACCTGATTAAACAGCAAAATAAATATTGAATATTGCAAGAAGCGGATGCGAAACACGGAGAGGATGGACGGCGGTCAGAAGGAAGGACATATGGACAGAACTTGGGGCGAGCTCGCGCGCGGGTGGTCGCTTCGACCAAAGGAAGGCAGTATAATTGGCGACCGCAGCCATCGTTGATATTGCATCAAACCTCAGGTCTCAGAATTCAGCAACAAGAATAACAAAAGCAGCAGCAGCGGCAGACGGCCGCATTACGTGAGAAAGAATTTAAAATCAACAGGAAATTCAATCAATCATCAATGCGGTCTCTAACCTAAAATCGTTACATTAGTTGAATTGTTTGCACTGAGTTCGGTACGGGCACAAGAGCTCTACTGATCTTGATTCTCCAGATTTTGTTTCCCTTATTGTCAAATCATAATGTATAAAGGAAAAAATAATACCTCTATCACACTGACAAGAAATAAGAAATATATTTCACGCGCGCCGGCTTAATATGGATACTGAAGTAAAGATTGTTGTCGTTCATGCCATGCAGGTTATATTCGTAAAAGTAGGTATTTGAGGATATTTGGCTGCCAAAATTCTCGTGCAATTGACTTAGATTGGTTAAGTTGGCTGTATTGGATCGTCAACTAAATTATGTGGTAGACTTGTAAAAGGCTTCAGCAATACAAATTGAGGCGAAATGCTCTCGGTATATAGCAGATAAAGACACAGCAGCAACAGGGGCGGGAGCAGCAGACCCAGGAGATAAAGACACAGCAGCAACAGGGGCGGGAGCAGCAGACCCAGGAGATAAAGACACAGCAGCAACAGAGGCGGGAGCAGCAGACCCAGCAGATAAAGACACAGCAGCAACAGGAGCGGGAGCAGCAGACCCAGCAGATAAAGACACAGCAGCAACAGAGGCGGGAGCAGCAGACCCAGCAGATAAAGACACAGCAGCAACAGAGGCGGGAGCAGCAGACCCTGCAGATAAAGACAACAGCAGCAACAGAGGAGGGAGCAGCAGACCCAGCAGATAAAGACACAGCAGCAACAGGAGCGGGAGCAGCAGACCCAGCAATAGCAGCAGCTGACAGGATGTGCGCCCATGGCGACGGTGCCCTGAAGCGTTGCGTGCGACGCCACAAGATGTCTTGTGTCCTGCGGCGACACCCGAGCCTTACGTGCGTGCGACCTGGCCAAGCCACCACACATCCTCCAGTTACATCTTATCCAAAACTTGTTCCTTTCTACGCTAAGAACGCTGAGTTCTTCTTATCCAGGACTCTTATCCAAGACTTTTCCACCACACATCGTCCAGTGTTGTCCAATCCAGTTAGTTGTGATCAGAAAATATGTCGTAATATTGTAGTCAGAGAATATGTCGTAATGTTGTGATCAGAGAATATGTCGTAATGTTGTGATCAGAGATAACAGCGCAGCGGCACGCACAACGGAACCAAAAGAAAATACCTCTACTAAAACTGGTAGATGCCCCAGCATCAGAACGCGATGCAGCAAAACATACAGGAGCACCACGCGGCAGCCACATTAGCAGCACCTACTACGGTTGCATCCACAACAACACCCACAGAAGCCCCAACAACCGTACATTAGACTCCTGCGTCTCGAAATAATTTTCTCGAAATGAACCGGGACAGACGAAACGAGACGAGAAAATTCCGGGAAAAAAATAACGGGACAGAGGGTAAAATTTGTCCCGGAATAAACGTATGAACCGAGACAAGACTTCTGTCCCGGACTTTAAAACTTGTGT